CAGGGCTAAAAAAAACCCCAAAGCCACAAACAAAAAACCCACAACCCTCTTTAGTCACATTACAAACATTGCATTTAAAAAAAACCAAAAGAGGAAAAGCCACGCACATGAAAAACACGGAAGGTTTTCACTGGGGAGGGAGGGAGCCGAGGCTGGCATCTTGCCCTGCCACAGAGCGTGGGAATGCGGCGGGTGGGCTGTGGGAGTGGAGGGGCACTGACCCCAGACCCAGCAGTGCAGGGCTGGCAGGATCCGGCCCCCTCCACCCCTCCCCAGTGGGGAGCATCCTTCCCCACCCCAGCAGAAAAACATAGGGATGCTTCCCAGCTGCCTGCAGAGCCTCTGCTCTGCCCTCCTGTACATGGGCACTGGGGCAAGGAAGGGACCTGTGGCTGCAGAGGGGACTCGCTTTGCGGTTCAGGCACGTCTCTGTTCAAAACATGGGGGAATTAACCAGTTCTCACCTCCCCTGGCACTCGGCTCTCCCAGGATGAGGGTACTCGTGCTGTGATGCAGCAGCATCTCCATTGCTCGACCATCACCCCGGCTCTGCAACATTCTCCACAGCTCGTTACTCCATTCCTCCCCTTTCTTAAAAGAATTATTTAAAAACCTGGAGCCTTTACTGGGGCTGTGGGGTAAGCATGGACTACCTGGGCTTTCTTTACTCCCTTCAGGCCATCACCGGGGGAGGCTCTGCAGTGGCGCGATTCACTGGAGAAGCTCCTGCAAGACCCCTGTAAGTTCACATCCCCCTGCAGTCACATCGCCCTATCCCATGTCCCCCCCTGGTGCTCAGCAAGAGCTCGGCCCCCCTGGAACCCCCAGCGCTCAGTGAGGGCCTGTTCCCCCTGCAGATGGGCTCACCAGCTTCCACAGCTTCCTGCGCTCCGAGTTCAGTGAGGAGAACGCCGAGTTTTGGGTGGCCTGCGAGGACTACAAGAAAACCAAGTCCCCTGTGAAGATGGTGGAGAAGGCCAAGAAGATCTATGAGGAGTTCATCCAGACCGAGGCACCCAAAGAGGTCAGTGGCCACAGGGTAGGAGATGGTGCCAGGAGGGATGAGACTGCTGCTCAGGTGGCCTCCATCCCACAGAGAGTTGTGGCTGCAGGGCACCCTGTACCATGGCTGAGGGGCTCAGAGGGCTGTACCCTGAGCAAGGGGCAGCCCTATCCCCACGGGCTGCACTCCCACCCTTCGCAGCCATGGTGCCCCTGTTCACATGCTCAGCCTCTGCTGGGCTGCCTCCTGCCACAGGCACCTCCAGCACATGCCTGTCCCCCTCTCCCCACAGAGGGCCTACATTAATCATAAGGGATGACAATCTGTGGTAGCCCTCACCCCAGAGTTACATTTGCTGCAGGATAGACCTCATCCTTCATTACAGATTTGCCACCAATAATTCCCCCAGATAAGCAAACCTGCTTCAGTCCCTCCCCATAACCTCTGCATGGTTGTTGGTGGGACAGAGCAGGTGAGGGGAGATGCCATCACCCACCCCTCGCAAAGGCAGGTCCCCCATCTCTCTTACACTCCCATCACAGGTGAACATCGACCACTTCACCAAGGATGTGACCATGAAGAACCTGGTGGAGCCATCACCAAGCAGCTTTGACATGGCCCAGAAGAGGATCTTTGCCCTGATGGAGAAAGACTCCCTGCCCAGATTTGTGCAGTCGGAGTTTTATCAGGAGTTAATCAAGTAGCAATGTGGCAGGGCTGTGCGAGGCATTCCCCGCGGGTGGTCCCACTGCTTCTGTCTGAACACCTGCCCCTTCTCCTGCAACTGCTTTGCTTTCTTGATACCACCCTAAAAGAGCACCCAGGGGCGTTGCTAAACATCTCCCCCCGTGCTTTGGATTGTCAGATGGACTGATGTCTCCTCTCTAACAGTCTCTTTCCTCTCCCACAAAAGACCAATTAGCAGAAACCCCTGGTGATCCTCCCTGGGCTTGGGACCCAGAAGGGCGGTGGAGCAGCCCCAGCCCTGCAGCAACCAGGAGCCACTTGGGCAGCCAGCGCATCACTGGCACTGTGGGGCTCGGCTTTAATCAGAGGCTCTGAGGTGCTGGCTCTGCCTTCTTAGGACTTCTTAGGACATTACAATATTTCTCCCAGTTTTGCCCGTATCGCTGGTTCGCCCCAGGCTCCCTCCCTCCTCCCAGCTTCCCAGGGTGTTGCTGAGGCTGCATAGGGTACCCTATGCGTGCTCCCCTCCCTGGCCAAGTCCAGCATGCCCGCAGCCCTGGGGTGCAGGGTGGGGCATGTCCACTGTGGGATCGGCATCACCTTGTCTTCAGAAAGCAGCCAGCCGTTCAGCAGGCACAGTGATGGCTGTACGGCAGGGTCGGCTGTATGGCAGCGATGGCTGTATGGCAGGGACAGTGGTACGGCAGATCTGGGAGCGGCACGGCCGCGCGCCGCAGGGTGTGCCTGGCTGGCATGAGGGGTGGGCAGAGCGAGCCTGCAGCACCGCTTCCCCAGTGACTCCACTTGGAGTCAGCTGTGAGACAGCCTGTTTGCTTCACACTAAAGACAGTAAAGAGGATAAAACGAGATCTGTTTGTTCAAAACACCGGGACTGTTTAGCAACCCAGACCTCCCGCTCGCTCCAACCACTTGCATGACATACTGAGCTCACAATCTGCAGCCTGTGCCCGTGTCCCCAGTGCCTACGTGCAGCCCTCAGCAGTGCTAGTGGCTGGTGGTGTGCTTGGATTGCAGCTTCGAGTGTTGCTGCAGTTGTTTCTTGCTCCAGTTGCTTCTCTCTGCAGTAGGCACGCCAAAGCGATACTTCTGCACAAACTCAATCGAGGGGCGTCGATTAGACGAGGGAGGAAAATCATGCTGAAGGAAAAAAAGCTGCTAATTGCAACTGTTCAGATCCAATTTCCCGCTCGCTCCAACCACTTGCATGACATACTGAGCTCACAATCTGCAGCCTGTGCCCGTGTCCCCAGTGCCTACGTGCAGCCCTCAGCAGTGCTAGTGGCTGGTGGTGTGCTTGGATTGCAGCTTCGAGTGTTGCTGCAGTTGTTTCTTGCTCCAGTTGCTTCTCTCTGCAGTAGGCACGCCAAAGCGATACTTCTGCACAAACTCAATCGAGGGGCGTCGATTAGACGAGGGAGGAAAATCATGCTGAAGGAAAAAAAGCTGCTAATTGCAACTGTTCAGATCCAATTAAAAAAAAAACAAAACCAAAACCCAAAACCCAAACCCAAAGACAAAACCATCATTGGAAATATGAAAAATAAACCCCTGTCTTCTTGAACAGACGGCAAACTCTGCTGAGTTTGTATAGCCTGCATCTCTCTTGCCTGTCTGCTCCCATCTGTCCAGGACATGTGTTTCCATAAGGCTGTCTCTTAAAAAGACCAGCTCTTTTCAAATGATTCAAAGCCAGCCCACTGTTCACTACCAGAAGAAATCACAGCTGAGGATGGGGCAAGGGCATACATCAAAGGCAGCTGGGGTCTCATTTCAGCCTCGAGGCAAATGCAATGAACCCCCGCTCTGTGGGGCCTGGACGTTTCATCCCTGCGATGGTTTCCTGGTACAGCATCTGCAGGGCCATGGCTGCAACGAGCACACTGCAGGGATCAAGCTGCCCAGCCGGCAACCCGACAGATGCCAGCAAAATAACAAGCGATCATGCTCCCAGCAGGCAGCTCGGACCGGCTGCCTCTGGCTGTTCAACCTCAACTGCAAGTCATGAGACTCCATCCAAAATGCAATAACATAAACAATGGGTTTGCCAGCCTCTTCAAGACTTTCAAAATCTGATCAAAACCCCACCAGCCCCAAATATTTACACATTGTCACTGTGGTGACGAAGAAAAATACATCCTGAGCTGCAGGAAGTGGGCTGCATTTTCCAGGCAGGGATGGCGAAGCAGAGGAAGGATGGAGGCCATCACAAATGTGACTTTTTTTTTCCTCTGGAGCAAATGGCCTGGGAAAGCCAGTGCTGGAGCGGCAGGGGGCGATGCTCGCGGGGCATTCCCCTGGGGTGAGCTCAGGGGGCGGCTTGGGTGGCCCCAAAGAGCCCAAGGGAGCCCACGAGCAGCAGGAGGGTCCCATCGAAAGGGCGCAGGATCCCCCCAGCAGCGCCTGCTGCCCAGAGCTGGTGGGCAACAAAGGGGAGGCAGGTGCAGGGCTGGGCATGGGAGGGGGGCTGGGGGCTTGGCCAGCCCTTCTGCTGCAGGGTGCTCCCACGTCTCTGCCCAGGCGTGCTCCCTACACCCTCCTAACATCTCCATGAACTGGTGTCAAGACAAGCGGGTTCGCCATGTGCAAGCTCCCTATTCACAGCGCGACTCATAGAAATGCAAAACCAAACAGGCTTCCCTGCAGAAGGACCCAGATCTTTCATTTTTACTTAATCCTTTGGCAGCTATTTCCAGATACCCTCGCACGTTTCACCGTTAAATGCCAACGCTGGGATGCTGCTCGAGGCTGGCTTGCTGCATGCCATCAAAACCTGAGATGTCACTAGCTGCCACAGCGACGTGTGGGGCAGGGAGAAGGTGTCTGGGTATGTACATGCCAAAAAGAAAGGTGGAGGCTGGCTTCAGGAGAGGTGAAACAGCTCTATTGGAAATCCCTCCCCAGCTTGATTTCTGCTAAAATATTGGAAGCCTACTTTAGGGGGTGATTGAACAGGTGCCAGTGAGCTACTGGGTGGCTATAAAATGTGGCCCCTGAAGCGTTTTGGAGCTCTTGAGAAGTTGTGTTTGTGTAGAAGGGTCGTTTGGCTAATTACTCGGGCAGGCGCACCCCAGAAAGGTGGCAATGCCTGTACCAAACCCACGGCCGAGCTTTCCACAGACCCAGAGGTATTTACTGTCGGGCTGATACCAACCATTATATTTCTGGTAGGAAATACTTCATGTATTTTATCACTCTTGCTTTCATGAAATTTAGCATATGTATGACAATATACACATGACATTGTACATCTATATCCCTATAGACATAGACAAGTATACACACACATATATATACATGCTCCTAACGCGGGCATCTGGATCCCCAGTGAGTCAGAGAGCCAAAAAGCAGAGTTTTTGGATATTGTGCTTGCAGTCTGGCGCAGAGATGAGTGTGCGTGGGTTTATTGCAGTCCCAGACCCCGTTGAAGGAAACCTTGGCCATCCATCCAAGTGAATGCTAAGGTGCATCTTCCAAAACATCCTCTGAAATCACCCTGTGCCCGTGGCCGCTGGGTGCCCACAGCCCCGGCACGTCCTGGTGCCTGAGCCGGCGCAGGAGGCAACTCTCACGCTCTCCAAGGGAACCCCATCCTCTGCCATGGGGCAAGGCAACCCCACGCTGCAGCTGGGGTCCCCGGGCACCAGGCGCTGCCTCTGTGCCTCCCTGGCACCCACTCCCCACCACTTGGACATGCGGAGGAGGGCTCCCTGCAGCTGCATCCCTGGGATTAACATTGGTGGATCATTCGCTGGTTAATTCATTGACTTGGACCCTCACACCTCACCAGCCACAATGTGAATCACCCAGCTCTCCCCCTGCATGCTGAGGCAGGGCTCTGCCGGTGCTGCCCAGTCCCAGCCCTGGGGACTGCCAAAGCCTGCGAGGCAGCGGCAGGAGCTGCCTGGTGCCCACGGGGGGCTGAGGGTGTCCCAGGGCTCGCCCAGGCTCCCCCCAGCCCTTGGTCACTCCTTGGAGGGTGCCGAGTGCTGTGGCCAAGGGCCAGGGCGAGGTCAGGAGTGGGGATCGACTCCTCACACCCACAAGCAGCAGGTTTTCAGTCTGACTTTCTCCATGTGATTTCCACTAGAGATCTTCATGTGGGGCACTGGTGTGCACTGAGGAACTGGTTGTGTTAACCCATATTCTTGTACCACTCAGTAATCCACACATAAACATGTATTTCTGCTACCATCTCGATGGACTATTCATTTTGTCTCTTTGCGCTGAAGGTGCGGCGTCTCCTTACCCTCTACAGGACACTCCCAAAACTTGTGGCCAAAAGCCCTGGCAAGACCAAAGGCCTCTGAGAGCTTCTGCTGCAACAGATGTGATGGTTTCTCAGGAAACTGAAAAGGGAATAAAAATATCCCCCCAGGAGGCTGGTCCAGAAGAAACTCACCAGCGCCAGCGTGGCACGGGCACCCCCAGCCCTGCTGCCGCCTCAGGCTTCAGCTGGCAGAGTCAGCTCATACTCCAGTAGCAGCCACGGTGCCTGCAGGGGCAGGGGCTGAGCAAGAGCCAGCCCTGCTCACCCCCAGCCATGCCACTTTCAGGTGGCAGCTCTGCACTCGGAGGGTTTGGGCCCAGGGACAGGTTCAGCTCTGAGCTAAAACGCGTTCCCCTCTGGAGCTCTGGGTGGGAAGACATTTGCAGCGAGGAGGTGCTCCTTTACGTTCCCCTCTCCAAGGCTGTCAAGGGGGGGCCTCATGCTCACCCCAACCTGTTGGCAAGGGTGAGCATGTCAGGCACAGCATAGACCCCAAAAAGGCCAGCATCCCCCAGGCTCATGGTGCCGAGGGTATCTGAAGGATATAATGGCTGTTTCATCCTTCTGTAATTTAAAACAACCTCCAGGTGAAGCCATTTGTAAAATGACTTTTTAGAGTTACCTTGGCCAATGAATTGCGTCTCCGTGCATTTTCTTTGGTTCACATAATGGCGTTTTAGAAGGGACTAATGCAAACATTTTTATTTAGAATGTATTCATCATTATTTAAATATCAATACAGTTTTTGCAATAGTTATCAAGAGTTCCCAGTACCAGGGGAAAAGAAAACATAGCCACATGCTTGGCTATGTTCAGAGCTTTAGCAAGCCTCTCCATCTCTTAGCTGAACATGCAGGGGTGGTATGTGTCAGTACAATCTAATAAATACAAAATAAAGCAAATGTCAAAAGAGGTGTTTCTCTGTGGGCCTGGACATGCCTACTGGAGAACCACGGCCGCCTCCTGCCATGTCAAAACCCCAGTGTGAGAACTGTTATCTGGACTGGAATGCAGAGCGAGGAATACATGGTTGTCAGAGCAGCAATATCCAACTAAGGAGAGACCAAGGGTTGGGGGAGAGCGTCGACAGCCACTGGACTGCTCAGAGCAGGCGGTCCCAGCTGCTGGCTGGCGATACCCGGTACTGCAGCCCAAGACAGCAAGCCCTGCATCTATTCCTTGTACCTCCAACTGCAGGTCAGTGTCAGTCCCAAAGCCCCCAACGAAGGCGATGTCTAACCACAGTGATTAAAAAGTAAGCTGCCTTCTGGCAAAGCCCAGGAGCAGTAATGAGACTGACACATTCCTCCTACCATCTTCAGGAAAAAACTGAGTCATGCTACTACTGAATTATAAACTCACATAAATAACATTTTTTTTTTTAAAAAAGACATTTTCAAGTACTCCCAGGCAGGGTCTTTCCTCCCCAGCTGTTGTGTTGTGGTCCTATTCCATCACAAACTGCTCCGTACAAGCCAGGGCAGGCAAACCTGAATTCAGATGGCACTCCCAGAGTTAGTAATATACACCTGCCAGTCTGGGAGAGAAGGAACATGTTTCTGTTCGGCTCAGCTACAGTATTTAACCTGGGCGCATGAAGGACACAGTTAATAATATATGAAATAACGAACCTCCCCCAAAATAATAGCTCTGTACAGCCCTAGGAAAGATCCTTGGCCAGCATAAACCAGATGCTACAGAGGGAGAAGCGGCCAGAGGGGAGAGCTTCCATGCGATTGTAGCTGTGGTGATCGAGGGAGGCTGTTTTTCTGAAAGTTTTGGTCTCCCTTCAAGAAAGAGTAGGAGCTCTTCCTATGTCTGATGACTATAATGCAGCACAGCCTGAGTTCTGAGCAAATAATACTGAAAGCCTAGACATTTGGGAGCTATATAGACAGCTAAGGACCACAGCAAGCCCTTTTCATCTGAGCTTTTGCCGATTAGAAAGGGGAGATCACAGTCCCCAACGCTTCCCCTGGCTTCCTCTTTTCCCTGCTCCTTGCTAGGTGTCACACTGCAACATTGCAAGTCTGGTCCCTTGGTGGGTAGCGCTGGGTCTGAGCACGTGCTCCCCCACCACCCTCCTGGGCTTGCAGGGCTCGCCAGAAACGCAGCGGGCACGCAATGATTGCACCCAGCTTTCATGTCAGACACAGACTCCAGGGCTCCTTCACTGATGGAGTCAGAGGAGGGTTTGCTACACAAACTGAGCCTGGCTTGGGTTACAAATGCTGGCTGTTGCATGACATGGGATACAACTGGGACATTAGCTATTGGAGACAGCTCTGTTGCTTCATGCCAATGAATGCTATTGCTGCCATATATTCTTGCAAGAGCCCAACCCACCCCTGCCTTGCTGCAGGTTCAGGCACACTGAGAGATGATGTTAGAGTTGCAGTCTAAGGTGTGAGTGTGGCTTCTTTTGCAGTTTTCGGGCCCACAGCCAGCACCAGGTGGGCTGATCAAGTCCAGGTAGTAGGGGGACTTGAGGAAACGGCGGTAAGAATCCTTTTCCATGAGGGTGAATATTTTTCTCTGAGCCTCATCAAAGCAGGACAGTGTAGGCTCCAGCATATTGTGGCACGTTTTCTCCCGTGTGCACGAATCCAGGTTCACCTGTGGGCCAAAGGGACAGTGTAAGCAGAATCTGTCCCAGAAGTGGCTAGCATAGGTAAAGGAAAATCCAAGCATCCCTTCACCAAACATGTTTAAGCTGTCCTTGATGGGCAGTGGTCTGAAATGGCCGTTGGACACCCTGCAGCCTTGGCAGAATCTGTGCAGCTGGATACCAATGCATCTCTGCTGCCAGACAAACTGTCAGGGGAGACTAACACATATCCCTCTGGGATGCAGCCAGCCAGGAAACTCGAACAACTGCACGGGAGCAGCTGGAACACTGGGAATCATAGTCCGCTCGGGCTTCTCCCATTTGAGCGTGCTCATGGGATGGCCACGTGGTTGTAACTAAACCCACTTTCTCTCTATCCAAGTTTAATATGAAAGCAATAAAAATGACACCATTTGCTTGTTAACTAACAGAGAAGCAGCAACTCTTACGAAACTACCAGATCTCCACTTCCCTGTGCTGCTGGCCTTGTTTGGGATTTAGGATGACACCTTTGCTCAAGAAATGTTCTGTGCACATACCTCTTTTGTTGCCTGCACCGAGATGAACTCGTCATAGATCTTTCTGGCCTTGGGGCTGAGCTTGGCTGGCGACTTGGTTTTCTTGTAGTCCTCACAGCTGACCCAGAACTCGATGTTTTCCTCACTGTACTCAGATTTGAGAAAAGCACGGAAAGCAGCCAGTCCTCCTACAGATTGTTTAGAGGAAAACCAGATCAGGTAAGAGTGTTGGTTCCTGGATAGTCATACCCATGAACCACAGCAAACAGCAATTCTGCGTTCTCCTTCCCAGAGCTGAATGAGCAGCTGCCTTGGGGATGGCTGCCTGCCTCCACGGCAGTCGCTCGTGCATGCCGAGGGAGGCTGGAATTCAGACAGGCCCCATGGGGATGTCACACGTGGGTCCTCAGCTGCCTGCTCCCCCACTGTGACCTTCAGTGGCTCAGCCAGGAGAACACAAGCAAATTGTGTGTTCCCAGGAGGCCCCAAGGAGACAGCCAACACACGCCGCAGAGTCTCAGGCCATGGGAACCACATGAAGAAAACATCAAGGACATCAGTGTAGCCCGGAACCAACAGGAAGACAAAGTCTCCCATGGGCTCAGCTGCAAACAGTTTCTCCACTTCTTGGTTCTTGTTTAACCCACTGTTAACTGTGTGCTGCAGTCTTGCCCTCCCCTTGCACAGGGCTAAACCAGTTGCCTTCACAAAAGGGACAGCTCAGCAGTAGGTCAAAGCCCCACTTATGATACATTGGGACTGTCCCTTGGATCTGACCAAGAGCACCCTTCACCACCCCTCCCAAAGGCCTGCATGGCCAAAGGAGCTACTGTGTGCTGCTAAGAGACATAAGATAATGTACCATGCCCCCTCCAGGGACTGCTCAGCACACACACTTCGCAGGCAGCACCCTCAACATCTCCAACAGAAGGGCCCTCTCTACTTACTGTCATGATGGATCAAGTTTTCCAAAGAGTCTGCCCACTTTCTGACTTCCTCTTGGCTAACCCTAAAAGGAGACAAAGGGAGAAACACAGAGAAGATTGAAGGGGAGTACAGAAAGGACAAATTTTTTTTTTTGCTCAGCACCATTAGAAAATCTCTTTCCCTGATTGTTGTAAGACCATACATGAGAGACCAAGAAGGAAATGTCTGCTTGCTTTACAGAGACCCCCGGGGACCCCAGATCTAATCTACAGAAATTCTGGTTTGCAATCCCCCATCACCAGCCATGGACTGGAAAGGAATTTTCCTGGAAAAATTGTTGGGGACTTTGTGTTTATTTTGTGACTGGCTGCATCTCTTGATGGGGTACGGACCTGGGATCACTCTTACAGGTCATATCAGTGAACTCCAAAGGGCTGATTTCTTTAACCTGTCAGGGGAACAGTAGCGATACAGAAGAGAGAGGAACATGGGAACTGGGAACACATCCTGCATTCATTCCCCCTACCATACCAGAACATCCTAGGGCTCATCTATTCCAGGAGCATACCTTGGCCTTTGGAGTCCTCCTTGGAAAGGACACCATCTACTTGCACCTCAGTGAGAGCAGTGATACCCTGACAGACTGCGCTCTCTGTTTTCTGTGCCAATTCCTCTGTGCAGCTGTGTGGACCATTGCACAAATCCAATTCAAATTGCGAGTGATGCCAATTCTGCAATGTGTCAAGTCGCACTGGGTCTTGTGATGGCGTTATTCCCCTGCACAGGAGACTGCACAAGTCTTTCCACGTGCACATGCATATTGAATCGCAGAAGTGTTGGCAGAAAGGGACCTCTAGTTCAACCTTCTTCATGGAAAGGGACTATCAATACCTGAGGACTATTGCCACACTACATTCAAACACACAGGTGTTCAGGAGGTACTGGGAAGCAGCAGCAGAAACACTAATGAAGTTCAGCTCAGTGAAGGAGTAAACAACATGTTGCAGCCAGCCTGGGCTTAACTACATGGCAGCATCTGCTTTTACCTCTGGCTTGAAGATATTTTCTCCTTCTTGCCCTGGGAAGAGCTGTAGTCACAAGAGTCTGACTTCTGCAGCAAGAAGCCCAGACGATGCTTCATGTCTTTGGCACTGAAAGAAACAATTCAAGAATGAGATGAAGATAATGCGTTACAACTCTCTCTGCAGCTTCCTCACCCTCAATAAGCTCCTTCAGCATTACTCAGTGACACAAATGCAGGTCACCGCTAGTGACTCCAGTGCTGACTTTCCACTCCTCGCATAATGCATATTTCTGTTGCTAGACAAATACAACACAGTCAAAGGAGTAATTTTTCATGTTCAACAGCACCATTTTCTTGCTGAGAAGTTCATCAGCCTGGAGGCAGGGCTGGCAAAGGTGGAGAAGCTACTGTTTTCCTACTGTTTGTTTACAGTTAAAATATTGTGATAGAAAGGCATCACCGTGCTGTAAATGTGTCACTTCTCCCTAAACTGATTTGCCCAGCCACCAGTGTCCAGTTCTTACACACTTACTAATCCCTTCCTGCAGCCCTTGCCATCTCCCCACCTCATCACCCAGCTACAGGAACAGCAGGGCTGTGCCAGGCCACCCCACCAAGCAGCTGCCCGTGACACGGAGGGAAGGGAGGAAGCGAAGGGCTAGGAGCAGGACCGTGGGGCGAGATCAGGGGAAGCCAGGAACTTCATACAACCAGCCTACGCTGACTGCAAGCTACTCCCTTGCTCCATGGCAAGCTCCTATGAGGATGCATGCTCAATTTTGTTCTGCTTTCCAGCTTGCTCAGGACAACCATTGCCTGACAGCAGCATCTAGATATGCAGCTGGTATTGACCTCAGCATCTCTCTGGACTTCCTTCCAGTTTAAGAATGAGGCGGGGGGCGCGGGTAAATCAGTCTTGCTTGCTCAGGGGTGCAAGCCCTGGCCTGCTGCACGGTGCAATGATAGCATAAGCAGGAAATTCTTCTCCTGCTCCTCAGATCAGAGCCTGGAAAAGAGTAAGAGGTTGTGCTCCAAGGTCAGGTAGCTGCTCAGCCTCCCAGCACTGTTCCAGCTATAGCACCCTGCCAGTGGTCCCGCTCAATTTTGTTCTGCTTTCCAGCTTGCTCAGGACAACCATTGCCTGACAGCAGCATCTAGATATGCAGCTGGTATTGACCTCAGCATCTCTCTGGACTTCCTTCCAGTTTAAGAATGAGGCGGGGGGCGCGGGTAAATCAGTCTTGCTTGCTCAGGGGTGCAAGCCCTGGCCTGCTGCACGGTGCAATGATAGCATAAGCAGGAAATTCTTCTCCTGCTCCTCAGATCAGAGCCTGGAAAAGAGTAGTAGGTTGTGCTCCAAGGTCAGGTAGCTGCTCAGCCTCCCAGCACTGCTCTTTGTTCCAGCTATAGCACCCTGCCAGTGGTCCCGGCTATATCTTATCTCACTGCTTGCTTGTGCTCATAAATGTTTCCTTAACAACTCCAGCACTAGGGTGAGAGCAAAGGAAACTCATAGCTTCTTCAGAACAGGGTATGCGTGACCAGGGCCAACATCCTGGCCCTGCCCAGGCAGACATCAGGTACTCTGCGCTGCCAGACTCGGGCTGCCTCACACTGCCATGCTACCTGTCCCCAGAAGAAGGAGACCGCTCAGGTCTGCAGGAAGGCGGCAGCAGGAGGAAACAAGACATTGCTGCTTGCAGTGAGTCCCGCAGCTTTCTGGGAGAGAGGGATTTTCTTGGGAATCCTGGACAGAGGTGGTTAAAAGATGTGAACTTTTTTTTTCTTTGCACTTTTTCAACTGTTCCTTTTTTGGGTGTGTAGGGGTTGGTGGGGGGGGGGGGGGGGGGGGGGGGGAGGGCATCAATACTTTTTCCTCACATTTTCAGCACTTGTTTTCAAATCCACCATAAGCAGGGAGCTTTTTCTCCCAGATGGGAGCAGGCTAAGTCTCAGTTTGCACTTTCCCAACTCTCTCCCATTGCACAGCCACTGGGAAGCAGCCTCAGGAGCACTCCTGCGGGCATGAGCTGCCAGAAAGGTAGCGCTGCGCCACCAGAGACCCATGCAAGTTTGCATGAGCTGGATAAGCAGGGAGTTTTGTGTGGCCGGTGCCATTCTGGGGACCTGGGCCACCCTGCTGGGGGTCTCCAGGCCCCATAGCACCTGAAAGGGAGTAACACCCCTCCAGGAGGGCTCGTGGCCACTTTACAGGCACAGAGACCCCCTCACGCTGGGCTGTGGGACAGACCACGCCACCGAGGGCATGCTTGGGGGTGCACAGGCTCTGCTCTGCCAGCACTGGGATGCCTGGCCGGTACCGCACACCGGGATGCAGCCAGATCCTGCACCCATGGCAGGGGTACAGCTCAGCCCATCCTCATCGGCACCGCACAAGAGAGGTACGGCCAGCCCCACACCGGCCCCATAGCGCTGTGCACCGGGGGCACAGCCTGACCTGATCCCTCACCATCAGTACACACCCAGGGGTTACAGGCTGACCCCGCACCGGCTGGTGCCGCATCCAGATCTGTGGTGCCCTGGGCTGGCTCACATCCCCGCCCTGCCTGCTGGCAGCTGGGTCTCTGGTCCTGCCAGGCTGGGTTTCTGCATTTGGGATGCATTTTGGGGAATGACGCTCAATTATTTTGTTATGCCGTCTGCCTATCCCCCCTCAAAAAAATCAAGAAAAAAAAATTCAGCAGGGAAAGAGGATTCAAAGGAGAAAAGGGGTGCAAAGCTTGCGGCAGAAGCAGATGACAAGAGTATCAAAATATAGCAATGCTAAAAGCTGCTTGTTTTGCTGATGGGAAGGATGGGTTTAGAGCTCCCACAGCTCCGTACAAAACCTTTATGCAATTCTGCTTCTGACTAACAGAAAAAAAAGCCTGTAAGCAATCATTTGTATCTTATCTTACAAAAGAATCAGAGCCGAATCTGCCACTTCTGCTTCAGACACGAAGCACAATACATCAGCGTATCTCCAGACTAACAAGACCATTGAGAGATGCTCAGAAATAAACAGTACCTTTTTAAGCAAGTGGCTGGCAGTGCAGCAAGTCCCTTGCACATCTTGCTCCCGAGGTTCGTTCTGTATTCCAGGAAAAACAACAACGCAGGAGGCAGCAGGGGCTGTGTGCGGGTCCTTCGCCGTCTGCAGAATTCAGTCTCGTCTCTGAGCCAGCTGCGCTGCCTTGGCTCTCTTTTATAGCCTAGCCCAGACAGCCCAGCAGCACTTGGTGACCCAGTCAGGAGTCAGCACAGCAGCAGCACCCGTCCCCTTTTTGCCCACCCAAGAGGAAGAGGGTGACGTATAAGCCAAGACAAAGGAGTGAGTGGGATTGAAAACCTTACCAGAAATGAAGCTTGGTGTCTGGCTGCAGAGGTGGATTCTTTTAAAAGGGTGGAAAAAGCTTCAGGGGCTTTCCTCTATTGCAAAAGGTGGAACGGTGCAGGTAAAAGCTGGAGGAGATTTTCAGAGGGGCACAGACAGTAAAAAGGGTCAGAGAATCAATTCTGAGAAGTGAGATGAGCTTTGCTGGTTCCTCTGTTCATTTTCCCCTTCTATTTAAAGCAACCTGGGGAAAACAAGGGACACGAATTTTAAACACAAAAGGTTCCCGTAATCCCAACAAATGCAGAAACCAGAGCTCTAAGGAAAGAAGAATGTAAATTCACCAGGGAACTACCCAGACAGATGAGATGGTCCTGTTTTATTCTAGAGGCATGTGGATATATGCCTTTGACGAGGCTGAAAAAAAAGCTCTGAGGGACCTATCACTATTGGAATATAAAATGTGTGTGTCCCGGCACACACATATTTGGGGACAGCTCATGTACATGTGTAGGAAAAAGAAAGACAGGAGGTTGACAACGCGACTGCCTTAGGTATATGGGTATCACTGCAATAGCTTACTTCTCCATTTGCATTTGCCCCTAGTCAAAAGCTAGGCCTTGGGACTCGGGAGTCCCCGAGTCCCCAAGGGAAGATGATTAATTAAAACAATAAACATAACTGTGCCTGCCCGGAGGACTTTGTGGCAGCGTTGAGGCTACTCTGTGCTAAAGGATGAACCCATGAAACACCTGGCTGAGGGGCTGTTTGGTGGTGACTGCACTGCCTGGCTCTGCTGTAGTCCCAAGGGAGAGCTGAATGACTCCAGCTACACCACTTGTCCTCAGCCCTTGGAGGGGGCAGAAGGCAATTGCCCCTCTGGAGAGAGAGAATTGGCTGATATTTATTGAGTTGCAGCTCAGCACAGCCTGTACCATTGTTATAAAAGAGGGGAAAGCTTTGGGCAGACAGACATGCATATGGTCTGCTACACTTCAAGTCTTTCTCCTGCTGTGAAATAAAGAAGCTTCAGTTCAGCAGCAGGCTGTCTGCCCATGCTACCCACTGCTGCGCTCCCTCTCCCCAGAAACCTTTAAATACTTTGCCCATGACCTGCAGGAGTTGCAGGGTGAGCTTTTCCCTCCTGTGTCTTTAGAGCCTACAGCCAGCAGCACAGAAAATCCAAATCCCAGACTAGTTTACCGGCCTTGGCATACTGCATCCTCTCATATCATTAACTGTGCTGAAAGGCAATGCTCTAATTAACTTTAAAATGCTTTTGTACAAATGCGACTATCCTGTTGCCAAACCTGAGGCAACAGGCCTGCAAGTCCTGCACTGTTTGGACTAAAAATCAGCTCCAGCACAGGGCAGTGTAAAACTTTAACTGAGTGAATCCCCTTGTGTTTTTAGTGTTGGTGAGTTGACAGCGCTTGGGTGGATCTGTAGGAAGCGACTGAGCACTGGCAGAGTTGGTGCCAAAGCTCTCTGATGTCTTCTGTTTGGGGAGGGAAGAAGCCAAAGGGCAGAATACGGCCAACGGGAAAAAAAAAAATTAATTGCCAAATAATTAATTTAATTTTAATTTCAAACTTGTGCAATGTTACTGCTGTTCATGTGCAACTGCAGCACATTCATTCAAGAAATTCAAGAGCTCAGCTGGCCGACATGGTCAAGGTGTCTGCAAGCTCTAACCATTGCCCTAATCCTGGCAGCCAGAGCCTGACCTCGTGGCTCAGGAAGCTCCAAAAGGCTGCTTGCTAAGGCAGGGAACTTCTCTGCAGAACACAGAAATTCTGCAGTTTCTCTGCAAATTGGCGTGTAACCAGATTTAGGAATGTCACACTTCTCTGTGGATTGTAAGCACGTTCGCTGTGTGGCTCTAATGACACTCAGATGCTGGTGTTGTCAACAACACATTATCTTTTGCATTCCCCAACTTCTGTGTGAGCAGGCTGTAATAAGAAATTTCTAACACTGCCATCACAACAGCCAGTCCAAAGGGCTTTGCAATTAAGACCATCCTCCCTGGACTGGGTGTGCAGACTCGTAGAACTGCTGCAGTTGAAATTTCCCTTTTTCCAGTTCATTAACACAGACTGGTTCAGTCTGGCCCCCATGTGAGGAGTTTGGGTTTGCATACTGTTTCTCCTCTAAGCTGTGTTTCTCAGCTGTTGCAGTTTAATACCCTCTTAGCTGCTCCAGCTGGTCCCCAATCAAAAGTACCCCCTTCCATCTCTTACCCTTCATAGTCAGGCCTCTTCTCCCAGGGCACAGACTGTGCTGTTCTCAACACCAAAATCTCCTCCTCCCTGCCAGAAAGAAGCAGCAGCTCACGCCACTTTTTACGCCTGTCACATCACCTCTGGCTTGCTTCACTTGTGGCATGGAGAAATCAGCAGTGAGAACGGGCTGGAGGGCACAAGGCTGGGGGTGGGGGCTCCCTGGCCAATACATCTCTTGGCCGTGCGGTGCTTTGGAGGCACCCAGGGGCTCACAGGAGACAGCACAATAGTAAACGTCTGCGGTTCCCACTGTGGCATCCCTCGTCCCCCACCCACTCGTCCCTGCTGCATCTCCCGCCCTGCCTCCCCAGGCAGCTAGAGACAAGGCTATGAAACGGAGCTTTCCCTCCCGTCATCACTGCTAGGGAAAAACCTCACACACGTGTGCTCACCCACGTACACAAGTGCGTGTGGGATGTGTCCCTCGGTTCAGCTGCAGCCAAGCGGCAGCCTGTGGGAGGAGGAAGGGAGCATGGGGAATGCTGCTTCAGTGGTCATTGCCCAGAGCCAAGCTACTACAGGTTGTTGCCTTCCTGACAGCATGCGACTCTCCTGCCTCAGTCCCTTCCCATCTCAAGAGCAGTGTGCTGTGGGATGCACAAGCGCACAAGGAAGACGGCTGCTTTGCGTCACTGGAAATGGAGAAGGGCATGACATGGGACCTGTGAGGGTGTGCTGCTCGGCCAGAGCCTCTCCTGTCACTGCTGCCTTCCCCAGTCCGCCTTGCAGAGACTAACAGTGGCCCACTCTTCCTCCTCTTCATGTCTCACAAAGCCAGCCAGGCACCTTGGGATTGGGCTAGCAAATCGCCTGGGTGCACAGGGGGACACTGGGGAGAGCATTGCCCATCTTTCTCATGGGCATCCCCATCCCAATACGTCAGGCCCCCGATCTGCTCTGCAGACAGCATTGGTGAGGAACTGGAGCAGCTCCCACACCCCTGAGCAGCACTAACTAGGGTAGCACTGGTCCCCAAGGCCCCAGGCTGCAGAAGCCCTGCGTGAGCAGCTGCAGAAGCCCTGCGTGAGCAGCTGCCCTGGTGACACTTCTGCCCACGTGAGCGGCCCCGGTGTCGACCCCTGCTGTGGGGAGGGTGCCTGGAGCTGTGCTGAACTCCCTGATTTGCTTCTCCCACACACCAGCCCCAAGCACTCTTTGCACAAAATCCCTTCCAGTGCAACCTTCCACCATTGATTTCTTTTCCAGTACACCCGTTAGTGGGTAAGATTTCCTTCCAGTAATGAGGGCTGCATCTTCTCCACATACATGTGTGCTTTGATTGAATTACAGCTAATGAGCTGGGAGCAGAACGCCCTGGAAGGACCATTTGGGTCTGAGTTTGGATGAATCAGCTCAGCGCATGCCTGTGCCTGACACTGCATGCAGCCACGTTTCCTGTCCCAGGGCACTGACTATGGCCTGACCTCTCTAAAATACACATGGAGAGTCCACACTTGTCCCCATAGGGTCCCCCAGCCAGCACTGAGATTCCCAGAAACGCTGTCCCACAGCATAGTCTGAAGATATCATTCTTTCCCATGTCTCTGCAACGCACCGCCTGACTTCACGTGTGACCACAGCCATGGCCCTTGCAACCAGCCCCCAGAGGCAGCCTTTGGGGAGAGAGCATCTCTTCCCAAATTAGCCCTGACGAGAGGGGTGACTCACCGTTCTGCCACACAGTTAATTCGTTAATTCGCTGCTCACACAGAAACCTTCTCAAGTGGATGTACCTCCAGGCTGACCCAGTCACCTTTGTGCTTCTCTTAGACGAGGCAAAGATGAACTTTTAAAGGCAAAGCAGCTTTGGTTTGTTGTCGTAGTTTCTTGCTGAGCCTGCTCCTCTCTGAAGTGATGCTCTATAAACGTTAGCACATTCATTCAGCACGTTCCTCAGCCCCAACTTCATACAATCCATACAACCAAATGTCCAACTCATACAATTTTCCCACGCTCTCAGGTGTTTTCTACTTATACGTGCACCTAAAACATCAGTGGATTTTTGTCATTTCTAAATGCTTGGAAGTTCTTAATAGTTTTGAGGGGTTTGGTTGGGTTTTTCTTTGCTTCAACCCTCAGTTTTTGGGCTGCCTACTTCTCCTGTTACTACCCAGAAGAAAATATTTCATCTTGTGTCAAAGGAAGAATTTTGTTCAACCCAAATGGACTTTTTTTCCCCTCCTCGTTTGGGTTTGCTAATGAAATAAGTGGGGTTTTTTTATCTGGCTATTGTTCTTGTTTGTGGGCATCAGACAACAGAAAGCTGTAATTTGCCTTCCAATTTCCTAAATCTCTGTCTCATCATCCATCTTAATTAACAGCCCCTTAAACATTTCCTCTTAATCACTAAGAAAGTTTTGAATAACACTGGACCACAAACCAAGCCAACATATGCCTGCTCACTGATGCTTTCCCAACATTAAAAACACTCTGAAATGTCTCATTTAGCCACTTTTAGTCCATTTAATATGGATTTTACAACATTTTAAGCCAAATATTGATAGCAAGTCATATTCATTTATAAATCTATTTCACCACCACAACTCCCTCATAAAAGCACTATTAAGCTCATTAGAAAAGGTCTATTTTTCCATTAAATCACGTCAGCTA